TTTAGGGGTTAGGGGTTTAGGGTAACCCTCAACCCTAAAGGCTTTGGGTTTGTTGTGGCGTTGCTTTGTGGGCTTCGTGATTGCAAAAAGGCTTGCACCCCGAACACGAAGACCGAAGCCCTCCAAACGCGAACCCCAAAGGACCCTTCGAATCGAAGCATACCGTGTCGGCTTTGGTGCTTGAAGGCAATAAGGGTCGGTTCCAGGGTCTAGTGCCTGAGGGCTTTAGTGCTTTAGGGCTTTAGGGTTTACTGCTTTGGGTTTTAGGGTTGCGAGGGCATCGGTTTCGAACCCACAAACACACAATTGTGTTCTGCACGGGCCAGCCTCCTCCACCAGGAGCCTGGACGAAAGTGAGCTCAGGTCAGATACGCGTCACTGGAAGCGATCTATCCGGGTAGACGGACGAACATGAATTCAGGAAGTTGCGACAACACTGAAATACTGTCCTGATTACGGAAATCAGGGCCCTCATGGCACGACCCACCAGCAAACCACCACGACTAGTACCACGACCATTTATCCTAAGCCACCATGCATTACTGGGCCCGTGTAGCCTTTGCAATCCCTGGAAGCTGCGATGACGGGCTGAACCCCAGATCTTATATCCAAAACGTGAAGCCAACCCGAAGGCCCCACCCCAAAAATCCTGTCCATCTCTGACATGACCACTAGGTCCGCCCAGCTTTTGCTGCCGGCCTTTCGGCACAGATCTGTCTCTAGGAATTGAACTGCGAGCAGCCTTCCGAGCAGCTCAGATGCTGACTCAGCGATTCGAGGCGTCTCGGGGCACTCGGGGCCCGACAGGGGGCCAAATCTGAAGCAGCTGGCTGCTAGGGAAGCATGACATATTCCCTCAAAATCGGCCGTGCAACCTGCGAAGAAGCAAGGAAGACGCCAGCTGCTCAAGATGCTGTCTGAGCTCGCCTAGGCACACTTGTCAAGACCTCCTTCGGAATCCAAGAGCACATCTGAATACGATGTCCTGTTTACATACAGACTCATATGTATATATATATATATAGATAGACTCACCTCGAACCTTCCTACGAACTCGAACGAGTCCAACAATAAGGTAGCCTAACTTTCGAGAAGGAAACCCCTGCGTGCCACCTTCACGAGCTCTGTCTGAATGTCAATTCAGATCACAACTTGCTCTGTAGCATTTCCTGTGCTTCGCGCTCAGCTTCCTCGATGGAGGCGAAGAAAGGCTCTGAAAGCCGCTTGATCTCCGACTCCACCTCCGCAATCTGCTGCTCCAGACATTTGACGTCTGGGAGGTCGAGGCCGTTTGCATATTCCTTCTCCAGCGACATCTTCTCGTCGTAGGCCCGGCGCAAGTGTTGCTTCACTTCGTTGAGACTGCCCTTTAAAGTTGCGATGATCTCTGCGAAGTACTCCCGCTTAATGCCCCAAGCCTTCACCCAAAGGGTGCCTGAGTGAAAGAGTCTGCCAAGTCCTCGTTCAAAGGACCCATGAACCTCCCGGTCGCTCCGAAATGTCTCACTGTAGCTTGCCGTGTCCCAAGTGCTGTAGGTCACATCTCGGATCGTGACAGGGCTTCGAAGATGAAACTCAAAGACTTTGCCCATGCCAGCCCGCACCACCTTAGGTACACAGGCTACTTCGACCAGCTCGTCTGTGTCATAGGCCGCGAGGTGCTTGTTCAAGCGCTCCATCTCCGACTTCTGCTCCTTGATTTCGTGGTTGATCGAATCCAAGCGTTCCCTTGCTGAGTCTGGAATCTTCATGCGTTGGGCTTTCTGGTCCGTCAGCTGAGCTTGCGTCGCCTCCTTCCGCGCAATCTCCTTGCTGTGCTTTGCCTTCACGGCCTCTGTTTTGGGTACACGGAGACCTGCCAATGGAGCAGCTGCCAAGTTGGCCCGAGCAAACTGAAGAATTTGCTGTCGTTCGGTGAGCTGCTCTTTTAACTCCTGATCTGTCTCGGGCAAGGAGTTCAGGCAACGGACTGGGGGAGCATCCTTGAGCCCCAGCAGATTCTGCACGTCTTCGGAGCTCTGCTGAAGGATTCTCTGAATCTTGTCGGGATGGCCCTTGTACTTTTTGCTGCTCTTCTTAAAGTCAGGGTGCACAATGACCAAGTTCGCCGCAAAGGTGTCTGCTCCGAACAGCTTTTGGTAGTACAGCACGGTGTCTTTGTAGGTTTGGTCCATGCGCGACTCCGTCTTCATGACCAAGATGACAGCATGCACAGAGCCGAGCACGTGCGCAGTCTTCACGACGTTAATCATGTACCCCAGGTCTTTCTCATGGCTCTCATTCAGGCCGGGCGTGTCCATGATCGTCACACTGCCATCGGCCGAGGTCGACACAGCGCACTGCTGCGTGCATGAGAAACGATCTTCGCCCACTTGGAAGGTCCGGTCTTTCTCCTCCCACAGGTGATCCATGTCCGGCTTCAAGAGGAAGTTGCCGAGGGTACTCTTGCCTTGACCGGTGGAACCCACGAGGATCAAGTTCACCTTCTTGGCTGAGGGAGAGTCCATGGCGCACTAGGGGCGGAAGCAGGCAAGACCAGGCAAGTGTTTGCGCTGGAATGAGGCACGGCAGCTTGGACAAGCGCTGACGGGATGCAGATACTCCTCTTCGCGCGTGTGCCTGGACGGGAACGCATCAACTCTGCATGTCATTACACTCATAAGTTACAAGTAAGGTTGAAACACAGACATGTGATGTATCTACCCGTCTATGTTCGGTCTTTCTTTGTCTGTCGAGTTGCAGTTGTATGACATGCTATGACATGGTACGGTTATGATTTGCGACTATGATTATGACTCTGATATGACATGGTAATGAACTGTGACTATGGTCATGCCTGTGACTATGATACTGCTAATGACACTGGTAATGACACTAAACCCTAAACCACTAAAAAACCTTTAAAACCCCTAAAGCCCTAAACCCTAAACCCTAAAACCCCTAAAGCCCTAAACCCCTATAAAACCCTATAAAACCCCTAAACCCTAAACCCCTGGAGCCCTGAACCCCGATTTGGCCGGGCCTGGTGAGCTCCGGAGGAGCCAGGTCCAGTGTGGCGTAGGCCCAGGCCAAACGCGCGAGGTCCTGAAAATCAGGGTTTAGGGCTTTAGGGGGGTCTAGGTGGTTTAGGACTTTTAGGTGGTTTAGGGTTTGGGGTTTAGGGTTTGGGATTTAGGGCTTCAGGGGTTGAGGGTTATAGGGCTTTAGGGCTTTAGGGCTTTAGGGGTTTAGGGTTTAAGGCTTTAGGGCTATGGGGTTCCTAAGAGGTTCAGGGTTTAGGGTTTAGGGGGTTTAGGGTTGAGGCTATAGGGTTCCTTTGAAGAGTACTATAGGGCTCCTGTTACGGGGTACTATGGGGTCCTTAGAGTTCAAGGTTTAGGGCTTAGGGGTTCTCGGGTTGAGGCTATAGGGTTCCTTTGAAGAGTACTGTAGGGTTCCTGTTACGGGGTACTCCTTAAGAGGTTCAGGGTTTAGGGTCTAGGGGGTTTAGAGTCTAGGCTTTAGGTTTCCTTTAAGGGGTACTACAGGGCTCCTTTAAAGAGTATTATGGGGTTCCTTTGAAGAGTACTATAGGGTTCCTTTGGAAGTTCCTCTAAAGTGTAGTTTCGGGGTTCCTTCAAGGGATGCCTCGCATGGGGTTGAGTTAGGCTTCTGGATCTTTGGGCTTCTGCACCCTTCTAAACCGCCCTGAAGCTTCTGAACCCTGAAGCCTGCACCGGCCCCGACGATCACAGGAAACAGAACGGCCCTGCAAGAAGGGTTGGTCACTTCCAAATAATTACCTGATTCCTGCGTGCGGTCTTTTGAGCCCTTCGGGGTTCATGCAACTCGCCCTAAACCCTAAAGTCTTGGCTTGGAGATCAGTTGCCAGCCAGTCCTCTTCGTCAAAGTCAGCTAGCCGAGACGCCGCCTCGCACAAGAAACGCGATTCGGGAAATCCTTCGGGAGCAGAGGATTGGTATGTCTTATCAGTCTCATTCTCACAACTATTAGTATCGTTGTTGTTACTTTTGCTACTCTTATTATTTTATTACTATTACTATTATTATTATTACTCTTATCATTACTATTACTATTATTGTTGTTGTTGTTGCTCTGAGTACAACACTACTACTACTACTACTACTACTACTACTACTACGACTAGTACTAGTACTAGTACTAGTACTACTACTACTACTACTACTACTACCACTACTACTACTACTACTACTACTACTACTACTAC